CAAGGACCTTGGCCACGCTCACCAACTCGCAACGCACGACGAGTGCTTCGTGGATGCACTAAATCGCGCGCGGCACCTTGACATTACGAAGGCTGTTGAGCTCTCTCCGCTTGCGATACGGCCACGCGCGCGCAAAGGTCCCGCTCTCACGTTTCGCCACGCGGTAGGACGCCCCGCTCGCTGTCGCGTGGACAGCTGCATCGCACTGGGAAGACTCAGAGCAGGGAACGGATTGGCGACACCGCCCGCGGGAGAGTTCGTCGGCCCCGCGTGGGGTGTTGAAATCGCTGCTCGCTGTTCTTCAGTCGCAGATTCTCAACCATTTCCTAATCACTTAGGGATACAACACGTCTGTACGTTTAAGAAAGAAAGGTTTTGAAAATGGAACTCTAAATAACATAAAAAAAGGGATCTTTCATTCATGATCTTAAAATGAATTTATTATAGAAGTTTTAGGTCAATATTTAAGAAAATTGGCTCTACCATCTAATGTTAAATTAATAAAGTAGATAATGATTACAGTTTTTGTATAATTTAATATTTACGAACCTTATATATATATATATATATAAGTATCTGTGTAATACATATGTAACGACCCATTAATCACGTGTATCATTTCTATGATATATAGGAGAAATAGGTATGAACATACTCTGTTCTTCTTCAAATTCTGTTCTTTAACAATTTCTCTTCACAGACGAACTTGCTGTGCAGAATGGGTTAGCGTAAATGTGCCAGACTTATAGAGTATGTAAGCTAGAGTCAAAGATGATAACATATTTCCTATGAACATGGAGTAGAAAAACCTCATATAACGAAGTTACACAACTGCATTTTTACTGCGCGCCCCAGACTGGTAGACAACTCATTCTACAACGATTTTTGCCAGCTCTACTCTGAACTTTGTTGGTGAGAAGACCGTCTTCGGTGTATTCCAGAGACATCGACACCTCATTAAAAAAAATCGCACGTTGGCTAGACCGTTCGAATAAAGCGGTGTGGCAGACGATGAACGCAACGGTCATCATTCCGCTAGCGTTGACATTATCCTCAAGGCGCTGGGTAAAGGAAGGTGACCGGCCGATTGAGAGACGTCTTGTGTGTTCGCGACGAGTATTTTGGTACACAAATATGGCAGAAATTATACGTTGCAGACTCAAGGTTGTAAGAAGTAAATACGTAACGCCAAAGTATCTCTCAACTCAGAAAGATGTATCAAAGCTTCAGCTGAAATAATCGCTGAGGTAATGGTAAACGTAGGTCATATTGTTTAAACAGAAATTCACGACAGTCACAGTGTGACTCGACTGTACACATCTTATCGTCCGCCAGCATAATAAACTTCTCACCAACAATCTGATTTCAGTTTGTCTCATAATAGTCCTCGTCACCATAACGTTCTTCACGTAATTTAGCGACTTTAAGTTGATTATGTTTTTATTTTAATATTTTATTTTGCAATTTGTTGAGGTATAAACATTTTGCAAAATTACAAAAGTACTCCTAATATTACATTTTTTCAGATTAACAATTTATAGTCGATATGTCAGGTCTAAAGTATGATATCGTTTAAGTCGTTTGGTGGTGTCACTATTGTCTAGTAAGTTAATGGCAAGAATATTTTGATGGTCATGTAGTCGTAAGTACTTTGCGCTGGTCTTGTTAATTTCTTCTTTTAATGTTGTCATTTGTAAGCCTTGGTGTATTGTGGTGTTTGATAAACCAAGCAGCCAAGGAGGATTTGACCAAGGAGCATTAAAAAAAATTCTTAAGCTTTTAGATTGGAAACGTTGTAATTCCAAGTTTCAATATTTGAATTTTGAGTTGCTTCCCAAAGTTGTATTCCATATGTCCAGACTGGTTTTAGTAATACTTTCTACAGAATAATTTTGTTTGCGATGCTTAAGGATTGTTATTAATTGTTGATTAACGTGCACTACTTTCGGCTTGAGCCCGAAGTATGCTTCAAAGCTGTTCCTACTTCGGACTACATTTACACATTCTGAACACCATTACCCAGCTAAATTACGAAATAACCAGATTACACTAGTCGCAACACACACGCCAGAGTCACAACGATGTTGTTGAGTTGGGCGTGGATTGTCTGTTTCAGTGACGGTGGACGGCGGGCCCTACAACGCCACCTTCCGCGGCTTCTTCCTGCAAGCGCGCGACGCTGCGAGCAACGCGTGGGTGGGCGCCTGGGACCCCACGCCGGGCACCAGCCCGCTGCCCGAGTGCGCCGCCATCACGCACGGCGACAACCGCGACAAGCTGCAGGCGACGCTCGTGTGGTCGGCGCCGCCCGACGCGCCGCCCGGCCAAGTCTACTTCACGTAACTACTTCACTTTTTTCATTAATTTATTTAGATTATTTCATGCACTTCTTTATTTCACTTATTTCTTTATTTCATTTATTTATTTCTTTATGTCATTTATTTATTTATTTCATTTATTTCTTTATGTTATTTATTTCTTTATGTCATTTATTTCTTTATTTCATTTATTTCTTTATGTCATTTATTTCTTTATGTCATTTATTTCTTTATGTCATTTATTTCTTTATTTCATCTATTTCTTTATTCGATTATTTCATTTAAGTAATTATTCCTTTATTTCGTTTATTTCAATAATTTATTTATTTCTTTTATTTTTCTCGCGGGTAGGCTGACTGGGACCACGCGTGCACGCACCCTGTATTTACTGGCTCAGAAACATTATTTCGGTGGCAGGTGCATGTAATTTTTAATCAGGGGATCAACATTTAGCTGGATACGATTTTTATCCACCAGCGGTGTTAGCCCTGGGGATGTGGAAGATGAAATGATGATGATGGTGACGGGGTGAGAGGACGACACACACATAGGCAAACTCAAAAATACCCATGGTCGAGGCCGAAATCGAACCCGCGATCTGGTGGTCCGGAACCGCTTCATTTCATTTATTGTTTCTTTATTTAATATATTTCTTTACTTAACGTATATTTTTATTTGATGAATTTCTTTATTTAATGCATTTCTTTATTTAGTGTATTTATTTATTTAATTAATTTCTTTTTTTAGTTACTTTGTTTATTTAATACTCTTTCATTCGCATTAACCCTACGTATACGAATTTTCTCAGTACACTGTTTTACTGTCCGAATACATATACGCCTGAATCTCTCTTTTAGGTTATTATTTGGAAGCTCTTTTGACGGTAATGCTGAAAGTTAAAATGAATAATAGTAGAAATAATTAAGTATAGTTCATTTGTGTTTTTGCTGTCAACATACATATTAAATGAATCGTTTGTGTTCAATGAAGATTTTTAATTTTATAAAGTGATCATAATATTATTAATTATATTGTTTGCTATGTCAGTGCTCCAGGGAGATGGTGTTTTGAGAATTGATGTACATTTTTCTAGGACTTCGTGTTCCTTTTTAGTACGATTATTTAGACATTCCAAAATCAGTGATTGTATCAAATTGAATTATTTATTTCAAATGAGTTTGTCAAGAATCCACAATGAGGAATGGTTTCATGTGTTCATCACCTGAGTTAGAACAAAGTCTAATTTTGTGAATAATAATGCAAAAATACGATTGAAAAGGACTAAACCATTTCTTTAAAAACTAAGTGCTTAAGATATTTCGTCAAAACATCTCTAGAAAAGATATCAGCTTGTGCAATTTTGTATTACGTAAGAGCGAGTAAGTCTTTTAAATTATTTTGAATATCGAATATTCATTTACATGCTACTGATGTTGAATACGTTTCACTGCGTTTGTCGCAATGCATTTGATCAACCAGTATCTTCTGAATTTATCTAATCGGATGAAAAACAACTTCACATTTCAAGGTTTAATGGAAACGTAATACGTTCAGCTTATATAACGTAGATTAATACGCATTGCGACAAAATTAAAGTCAATTAATCGATCTATCGAAATTGTAGATTCAGCAACCAGATTTCTTGATAATGTCTCAGCAAATTCTGTGATATAAACGCTTGATGAAACATACTGCACACCTCATTTCCTAATTGCTTTCACTTGCAAGCACCAGATCTCACCGCTCTGCACGACAGGCAGTTCTTAGCCGTCTCAAGGCGGTGGTGCCCAAGGCTAAAACTGTTCCGCGAGTGAAGTATTGGCTAAGCCTGTAATAGCTACCGTAACGTTCTCCACTCCTAGTATAACTACAATGTAACTGCTAGAGAACCGAGCAGTTCAAACACGATGATGGTAAGAAATGAAGGGAGAAATTGACCTATATGCAATATCGTGGATGAACTGAATAGAAAGTATGACTAATATTCAACAGAAATCGAGCACAAGAGGATATTATTATGTAAGGTTTGACCTGAAATACGACTCCTTCAGGTTGATTGTTACTGAGAGTACTTAAAAAATAAATGCATGACTAATGAACACAGCCGGAGAAAAATTATGCGGCAAGATTGACTCTGCACTGTAGGTACTTGCATCAGAACACTTACTTGCATAACTGGACAACAGAATATATAACTATATTGGTGTAACTCCCTTGCTCTTCTACTTAATGCGTTTATGAAGATTAGGTCGTAAAATTGTAAGACATGTTTTACAAACATTCATGAGATAGAGGTGCATTACACTAATAAACCTACTAATTTTATTACATAAAAAGGTATTCAAAACATTTGATACAGGCCAAAATACGGAGAACAAACCGGTAAAATACAAGTACATCATTGTTATTTGTCTTCACAGGCAGTACATTCTCTTTACAAACTGTAGTGGCTGGTGAAATAGTAACACAAAATAACGCAGTGTATCCAAATTTTACAAAAATGTTCGTTCTTTGTAATTAGCCATTACATAATAGTATTCGAGATGTGCAGACCGAAAAAAGAAGAGCGCATGTAACAAATGAAAGAAGAACGTATTCTGAGGATATGGTAATAGGAGAGGAGAACGTGTTACGAGTCGGTGATGATTAGTTGTTGAGGGAGTGTTCTCCGATTTCGTAAACAAATACCGAGTGCAAATTATTAATTAGTAAAAATGTTTTAAGTGCAACGGGACATAAAACTATCTGGAAAGAAGGAGCTGCCACGATTGAAATTGGACAGGATTGACAAGGAAATTTAAATGGACGTGAGAACGACGGGCAAGAACGCTGGGGACTTGAACAGGGAAGTTCTTACAATGAAAATAGACATTTCAATAATGTATGAAAACCAACTTTTGGAATAAATTAGTAAATTATGAGTTAAGATCAAAAAGGGGTAATAGCCATGCATGCAAGGGGATTCAACCCAATGGCCTATCTTCGTCCTCAAGAGAAATATAGGAGTAAAGGGGTAACAATGCTGACGAGAGGGATAACACAAATTTAATAGTTTGCCTTCTAATGTATACGGAGACACAGAAGGCAGGAAAAGATTTGGAAAGAAGTACTGTAATGGTGAAATATGCGCGTCTGATCCCTGAAGTGGCGAAGAAGAGGAAAATGAAGATGAAGGTAGACCAGATATTTTAAAGATGGATCAACTATCTCTTTACAAAATTAGCTCATTAACTGCATGAACTTCGAAGGCTATTATCGAGAATCATGCCCACTCATATTCACTAAAAAGAGTTGCTATTTTTTCGAGACTCCAAACACCGCAGTGACAGGAATTCTCATCATGTTTGTCAATAACGAAGGGAAAATGTTGCCACTAATGACCAAAAAGTTAAGAAGCGACCTTAAAAAATTAAAAATGGGAACAAATGATCATTACGATTTTGTAATATAGGAAAATATCACGACAAAATTTGTCTCTGAATTTCGTCACTGTTTAATTATCATTAAACATTTAATGTTTTACAGTGAACGTCAAATATTTATTTTTAGTATCGTGTAACCGTGTATTTTAGTGTGTAACCATCAGTTTTAAGAAATAATTATGCATTTCCAATTGTAACTTTTATTGTTTCACGGTACATTGTAAATACATTTGTATAGACTAAACTATTTTAGTGCTTCAACGTCTTTCCTTCTGTAATGTTTCCCGTGAAAACAAGGGCTACATAAAAATCCTATCCAGAATATCGTATGCGTATTGACAGTTATAGAATTTTGCGTCACATGAGTCTCTCCTGCTTCATACGTATTACGTTTAATATTGATGATTAATAACAAATACCGGAACTTAATTAACTTTTAAATGACGATGACACTCATTGTCCCTTGAAGCTATGTAGGGCAAGTCTGTTAGTTGAATGAATTCTTTACTGTTTGTCGAGAAGTAATTCAGATTCTTTAATTCCACTGTGCAACCAAATACGATAGTTAGTGATGGCAAATTTTAAAAAAAACATCGATTTATCGAAACTTTGATACATTATCAAAAGGTTTTCGATGCCTATATAAATATCCAAAAACGTCACATTAAAGAATATCCATATTTAATACGAGTATACATGATGAAATATTCCGAAGTAAAATGTCCTGGTTGTAATGTAATACGTCAATATTAGTTTAATGTACATTCTGCCTTAAATTTGACAGTCATCTTCATCATATAATAAATGTTCTATGTAGTCGCGGTTCAAAATGCATTTTAACGATATTACTACGTAAAAATAACAAAATAGATAACAACACTGGATACGATTGCAAATTGCGAACGTTTTGTTGCCGCCTGGAGATCGACAACAGTGACAGTTGTTAATGGCTGTTGATTGCGAGCAATTCACAACAAAATTGATGCTACAAATTTTATTTATTTCGAGAGGTTTTCTTAGCATCGATGTTTCTGGGCAAATTTATCGATCTGAATAAAATACAGAAAGCAAAACGACGTTATAACACCGATTTTTCTGCTCGAATATATGAGTTTTAAAACCATCGATGTTTTCTTGCCATTCCAAACGATATTAGTGCAGTAACGGTATTAGTATATTAT